AGTATAGAGGGAGGTAACATCAAGCGAGACAAGGATCGTTTCAGGTGGGAGAGGGTTCAAAGATTCCATTTTCTTAAGATAATGTGTTGTGTCTTGTATATATGATGGTAAATTTTCCACATGTGGTCTCAGATGAAAGTCAATAAATTCTGATATTTTCTCTGTAGGGTGGTCATTGGCGGAAACAATTGGTCTACCTGGATTATTGGCTTTATGTATTTTGGGCAGAAGATAGAAACGCCCCGGCTTTGATTTTTCAGGTTTTAGATATTCAAATGTGTTTTCATCAATATGTCCCTGTTCACACATGTTTTTCAGGTTTGTGGTGATCTCTTTGTTGAATTGAGGGGTGGGGTCAGAGTCTAATTTCTTATAAAATCTCTCATCAGAGAGTTGACGTTCTGCCTCTTGAATGTAGTCACATTTGTCCATGACGACAACAGCGCTACCTTTATCTGCTGGTTTTATTATAATGTCGTCTCTGTTTTTAAGTAGCCGCACAGCTTCATTTTCTTCAGACGATAAATTGTTGAATGTTTGAGAAGTGGCAGTGGACAGATGTGTTACGTCGGATTTAATTTTGTCAATAATATGTTCTAAAGTAGCACATTTACTGGGTTTAGGAATCCATGAACTTTTTTTCCTGAATCTGGGAATATCGACATCTTCTTGGTCGTCATCTGAGTCGAGATCACTTGTGTCACTATCAGTGGTACTTTTTGTGGTGTCCTTGGAAAAATATTCCTTGATTCTGAGGGATCTTGCTAAATTGTCTAGGTCATCTTCCAAAAGTATAGAATCTATTTTGCCCGGCGTGGGACAAAAATTAAGACCTTTTGACAGTACCTTAGTCTCGGTCTCCGACAAAGCAACTGAAGACAAATTGACTACAGTGTTTGTAGAGTTCATACAACTTTGTTTTTTTCTCCTGAATCGGCGATTCCGGGATTTTTTTCCGGTTATGATGGTACGATTGAGAGTTAATGTGGTCTGCTCTCTTACAACAGTATCTAAAAGTACGCCGTCTCGTTTAAATTTGTTAATTTGTTTTTTGTGTAATTTCCGGGATTCAATGCGCAAGATGTCATGGAGGCGCTCAATCGTACCATCATAACCGGAAAAAAATCCCGGAATCGCCGATTCAGGAGAAAAAAACAAAGTTGTATGAACTCTACAAACACTGTAGTCAATTTGTCTTCAGTTGCTTTGTCGGAGACCGAGACTAAGGTACTGTCAAAAGGTCTTAATTTTTGTCCCACGCCGGGCAAAATAGATTCTATACTTTTGGAAGATGACCTAGACAATTTAGCAAGATCCCTCAGAATCAAGGAATATTTTTCCAAGGACACCACAAAAAGTACCACTGATAGTGACACAAGTGATCTCGACTCAGATGACGACCAAGAAGATGTCGATATTCCCAGATTCAGGAAAAAAAGTTCATGGATTCCTAAACCCAGTAAATGTGCTACTTTAGAACATATTATTGACAAAATTAAATCCGACGTAACACATCTGTCCACTGCCACTTCTCAAACATTCAACAATTTATCGTCTGAAGAAAATGAAGCTGTGCGGCTACTTAAAAACAGAGACGACATTATAATAAAACCAGCAGATAAAGGTAGCGCTGTTGTCGTCATGGACAAATGTGACTACATTCAAGAGGCAGAACGTCAACTCTCTGATGAGAGATTTTATAAGAAATTAGACTCTGACCCCACCCCTCAATTCAACAAAGAGATCACCACAAACCTGAAAAACATGTGTGAACAGGGACATATTGATGAAAACACATTTGAATATCTAAAACCTGAAAAATCAAAGCCGGGGCGTTTCTATCTTCTGCCCAAAATACATAAAGCCAATAATCCAGGTAGACCAATTGTTTCCGCCAATGACCACCCTACAGAGAAAATATCAGAATTTATTGACTTTCATCTGAGACCACATGTGGAAAATTTACCATCATATATACAAGACACAACACATTATCTTAAGAAAATGGAATCTTTGAACCCTCTCCCACCTGAAACGACCCTTGTCTCGCTTGATGTTACCTCCCTCTATACTAACATCCCCCATGACGATGGTATTGAAGCCTGTAGGGAAGTCTGGAACTCTCGTAACACCTTACATCCACCGACTGAATGTCTCATCCAGCTTCTAACTTTGGTATTACAATGCAATAACTTCACATTCAATGGTGAACACTTTCTCCAAGTTAATGGAACAGCAATGGGAACAAAGATGGCCTCGTCTTATGCCAATATTTTTATGGGGAAATTAGAACAGAGAATTCTCAATTCTTCTCTTTATCAACCCCTCTCTTGGTTCCGATTTATCGATGATATTGACATGAAGTGGGATAATACTGAACAAGAACTAAATTTGTTCATTCAACATGCCAACGATGCCCATCCCTCAATAAAATTCACATATGAAATCTCTGACTCTAAGATCACATTTCTTGACACTACAACGCAAGTGAGGGATGGAAACATATTTACAGATCTGTATTGCAAGCCAACAGACAAACATCAATATCTATCTCCATTGAGTTGTCACCCTAAACATTGCACCAAGAGCATTCCCTACAGCCAGGCCATACGAATAAAAAGGATTTGCTCCACCAACGATATTGCAAAAAAACGACTACAAGAACTTCGCGGTCACCTAAAACATCGGGGCTACAAAAGAAAAGACATTGATAAAGGTTTTTCTCGTGCTAACAACATCAGCCGAGATGAACTTTTACAATATAAAGTCAAAAAGGTCAACAGGAGGGTGCCTTTTGTGTTGACTTACCATCCAAAATTTGACAACTTATCTCACCTAATCCGCGAAAATTGGAAAGAAATCGAAAAACATCCTAAACTATCCAAAATCTTTCCCGAGCCACCTGTACTGGCTTTCCGTAGGCCCAAAAGCCTTAAAGACTTGCTGGTGAGAGCTGATTTATCCTCTCAAGCAGGCTCTTCGTCTGTGGGCTCTTGCAAGGGTTGCGGAAACAAACGATGTCTGACTTGCAAACAAATACTGGTTACCCAGACTTTTAACAGTCACTCCACTGGTACAGAATACACCATATTTTGCAATGTTAATTGCAAGACTACAAATGTTGTGTATCTCCTACAGTGTAAATGTGGTAAACAGTATGTTGGCGAGTCAGAACAGCCGTTTCACAAACGAATGAACGGTCATCGTAGCGACTACCAATGCAAGCCAGACCTCCCTCTCAGTCGACATTTGAGATCCCCTGGCCACACTAAGGCAGATCTCAATCGACTGACCATTACAATCATTGATCACAACTCTGCTTGGTCTAGGGAGGATAGACTCACTCGGGAAAGATTTTGGATAAGAAAATTAACAACTTTGGCACCAAATGGGATAAATGAAAAGATGTAGTTCTACTCCATGCAGTGCTTCACATTTGGGTTATATTGCTTGTTATTACAGTCTCTGTTTCTATTTCTTTACCTTACTCATCTCTAAAATCTGTTGAATATACCAATTTAAATTGCTTAATTTTTTGAGGGATGTAAAAGTACCAAGCCACGTTCAACTAGTTAACCTTAGTCAAATTTTATTATCATATTTTAACGGCCGTTTGTTTGTGATGTTTAAATACGCAGACTCTGTTGTAACTACTCTACCGTTGTCAAATTTGAAATATTTACAAATTTAGATCGTTCAGTGCTGTTTATTTGGAATTCTTATTGACGCAATCGTTCTTGTAATATCATAACTGTCGTCACCGTTAAAGCTTTAGAATTGTGCTAGTTCATATCGCACATTATTATTTTTATTTAAAGCATATATTTGAACTCTCTTTTGTAATTAGTCATATAACCTATGTCGTGTTTAACACATATTTAGAATTGTGCAAGCGTCTTACCTGATGTTCGGTTTGACTTTTTTATTGTATAAATTTCAAGATTGTTATAGTTTAATCTAAGTAGACTGATATATGATTCATTCAACATCACAATCATATTTACTGATGAAGGATATCTGTTATCCGAAATATTTATAAATAATTACATTTATAGTTCCTTTTTTTGTTATTGGTGTTGTTGTGTACACTTTTTAGGCGTTTATATAATTTATTTATTGTGTACATGTATCGTTACTCGTAACGATCCAGCGCCCTCGTGGGAAAAATCGTTGACTATTATTCAGACGTTTTATATATATATATATATATATATATATATATATATATAAAAAGAGATGTGTGGTTTACGTCTACTCGACAACAGCATAAACACAGGAAAAAAAACATCTGGTGGTCAATATATTGTCTTCAACAACAGGCATATATTTAAACACTAATTTTATTTCAAGTGAGTGTAGATCTTCTGTGACAAAATTTAACAGAGACTGTTAATATGTGCAATGAACAGTACGAAATTGCGTAAAGGATCAGGGCATTATTAAAGTTTTAACCGTTGTCCCCCTGTTTTTCACGAAATTGAAAAAACACGTTTTGGTGCGTTTGAAGCTTTGTGGATTCACTTTTACCAGCAACAATCAAACCCATACAATTTAAACAATAGAATATTTCAGTACTTGAAAACTTAACTAGGCTATAATATGACCAAACAGGACCTCCAAAGAATAACTAACTCCATTTAAGGTAAACATTGCCCAAGGGAGTTGGAACCTTAGTTTCTTAATAATTTAGTTATTTATAAACGGGGAATTTAAGAAAGGTATCTTATAAATCATGGCAGTACCGAAGCACTTTCTAATTATAATGAGCTGATGATACCCTCGGAAACTAACAGTCCACCAGTTACTGTAGCTGTATCGACCCAGCGCTCGAAATGAATATAATACTTTATAAATTTGGTGCGTCCGAAGCGCGTAGTAAATCATTAGAGCATGTTGCAATAAGAAATGAATGTCAATTTATTTTCTACAACGTTGACTGAAGAAATAAATAACACGTGCTTATATTAAATATCATTATACAGTTTGTCCCTTGTTTTCAGGATATTTGTTCCTTGTGTATGTGTTTTCATGTTTGTCGATAACATCGGCAGATCTTTATCATGGACCTGAGGTAAATATTTCATTATATTATATGACTATACATTTTATTTTTTCTCATTGGCTAAAAGCATAGGAAATCTTCATTTGTAAAATTTATAATTACCGCGGGGAAAAGTAGGAAAACAAATATTAAGATTATTAGGATATAGAACAGTTTACATCTACCTAAATAAAGACTGACAACGAGGAAACCCATTAGAACAATGAAAATAATACAAATCACACGAAAATATGATTTATACATTTCACCACTCCAGTATAAAAATATACAAACTAAGATATACAGCAAACTTCCGAAGCAGATGCATGTAAAAACAAGGAGCAGTTAAATATCTTGAACAAATACTAGAAATGGAGATGGCTTAAAAACTCATTTAATGAAATAATTGTTTTCTTTTGATATCAGTTGATGCAATGATTTAAAAACACGACGAATGTTGATGTAAACAAGTATATCACCACATGGCCTATAATATGTGTATTATTATATTTTTAAATCTGTCAACTGTCAAATGAATATATATTTTATTGACCATAATATTTGAATTTCTTAAAAAGTTTCCCTCTGATGGGCTGTTTCTTTTATTGAATTTAATCAAATTCCGAAACTGTATTTAAAAAAAGATACTGATTTGCGAATATTGATCCTTCTGGCATTTCGTTACTACCATTAAAACAGATTATACATTATATAGAGGAAAACTACGAAAGACGTCTTTTCATATTTATACTAATTTATTACGGTATCATTCATTGGAAGACGGTAGAATCTCATAAAGTAGACAAAGATGACTTTGTTGGAAGACATCATGGAGAAACTCTGTCAAAGTTTATAACCAGAATTGTCGATCCGAAAAAGGATTACTTGTTAACATTAGGGAGGACCATAGACAAAGTGGCTGATTTGATGAGAAGTAAGCTGGTACCCCACAAAGTAGCCGCAACAATCAAGGTAGGCATGGACTATTTTTACGTTACATATTTTATTGATTTTATTTTGTGTAAAAGAAAAAAAAAGGTCCGAAAGATGTCTTTTGATTATGTTATTTTTTTTTTCAATTTGGTCACTGGCTCATTATTGTATACCCTACATCTCCTTTCATCCATATGTAGTAAAAAGACAGAGGATTGAAATAAACTGGCTACAAATCAAGTGACAGAAAACATATGAGGGATATGACTAGATTTACACAAAGTATGAATGCTTTCACGACATCATAACTATTTTGAATAAGATTGAGATAGTATGACTACTAAGAGAAATAGCATGACTGTTATGAGGGATAGTGTGAATGCTAGGAGAAACAGCATGACTGTTATGAGGGATAGTGTGAATGCTAGGAGAAACAGCATGACTGTTATGAGGGGCAGTGTGAATGCTAGGAGAAACAGCATGACTGTTATGAGGGATAGTGTGAATGCTAGGAGAAACAGCATGACTGTTATGAGGGATAGTGTGAATGCTAGGAGAAACAGCATGACTGTTATGAGGGATAGTGTGAAGGCTAGGAGAAACAGCATGACTGTTATGAGGGATAGTGTGAATGCTAGGAGAAACAGCATGACTGTTATGAGGGATAGTGTGAATGCTAGGAGAAACAGCATGACTGTTATGAGGGATAGTGTGAATGCTAGGAGAAACAGCATGACTGTTATGAGGGATAGTGTGAATGCTAGGAGAAACAGCATGACTGTTATGAGGGATAGTGTGAATGCTAGGAGAAACAGCATGACTGTTATGAGGGATAGTGTGAATGCTAGGAGAAACAGCATGGCTGTTATGAGGGATAGTGTGAATGCTAAGAGAAACAGCATGGCTGTTATGAGGGATAGTGTGAATGCTAAGAGAAACAGCATGGCTGTTATGAGGGATAGTGTGAATGCTAAGAGAAACAGCATGGCTGTTATGAGGGATAGTGTGAATGCTAGGAGAGGTGGTTAAAGCTAAGAAGGATGGTTGATTGTTAAGATAGGTGATATGAATGCTGAAAGCGATGACATGGATACTAGGAGAGATGATATGAATGTTTAAAGATGTTGGGATCGATAAGAGAGATTGTATGAATGTTTAAAGATGTTGGGATCGATAAGAGAGATTGTATGAATGCTTAGAGAGACGATATGGATGCTAAAAGAGATGGTATTGCTGCTAGGAAAGATGGCATGATTGCAAAGAGAGATAGTATGAATGCTAAAGGAGATGATATGAATGTTTAAAGAGATGGCATGGATGCTAAAAGAGATGATATGAATACTTAGAGAGATAGTATGATTGCTAAGATAGGTTATAAATGCGGAGAGAGATTTTATGAATGCTAAGAGAGGTGGTATGAATGATAAGAGATGTAGTATTAATGATAAGAGATGTAGTATTAGTGCTAAGAGAGATGACATGGTTGCTAAGATAGGTGATGTCACGAGGTGGTATGAATACTAATAGAGATGGTCTGAATGTTGAGAGAGGTGATAAAAATGCCAAAAGAGGTGGTATAAATGCTTATGAAGATGGCCTGGATGCTGAGAGAGATGGCATGAATGCAAAGATAGATGGCATGGTTGCCAAGAAATGGTATATGAATGTTAACAGAGATAGCATGGATGCTAAGAAAGGTAGTACGGATGCTACGAGCTGTTATATAAATGCTTAGATATGTTATATAAAGTTATATAATTGCAAAGAAATGTTATATAAATGATAATTTAACACTTCATCAATTTCGTGCATCCGAAACTTTTTTCTGGATTTGCTTTCACCAGGAACGCCCACGCCTGCGCATTTGACTGACACATTTGTTCACGATTTAAACAATTGAAGAGCTATATGACTAAACGGGACCTAAATTAGCCAAATTTATCAAAGGTCAATTTTGCTTGAGGGAGTTGAACCATAAGATTCTTAATTATTAACGGAGAAATAAAGAAAAGTTTGTAAAAGATCATGTCAGTACCGAGGCACTCACTACTGATATGATGATCCCCTCGCTATCTAACAGCCACAAGCAGTGGTATCGACCTAGTACTAGTAAATGAATATAACACTTTTATTGATTTCGTGCATCTGAAGCGCTTTTCTGGATTTATCTTCATAAGGAACGTACATATCCAAACAATTAAAAACCAAGGATAAATAAGAACTAAACACGTAAAGAGCTATAAGACTTGAACAAAAGGACTTAAAAATAGCAAAATTCATCGAATGATAAGAGATGTGGTATGAATGATAAGAGTTGTGGTATGAATGACAAGAGAGGTGGTCTGAATGATAAGAGAGGTAGTATGGATGATAAGAGAGGTAGTATGAATGATGAGAGAGTTGATATGGATGATAAGAGAGGTGGTGTGGATGATAAGAGAGGTTGGTATGGATGATAAGAGAGGTGGTATGGATGATAAAAGAGATGATATGAATGATAAGAGAGGTGGTATGGATAAGAGAGATGATATGAATGATAAGAGAGGTGGTATGAATGATAAGATAGTTGGTATGGATGATAAGAGAGGTGGTATGAATGATAAGAGAGGTGGTATGGATGATATGAGAGGTGGTATGAATGATAAGAGAGGTGGTATGAATGATAAGAGAAGTGGTATGAATGATAAGAGAGGCGGTATGGATGATAAGAGAAGTAGTATGAATGATGAGAGAGTTGATATGGATGATAAGATAGTTGATATGGATGATAAGAAAGATGATATGAATGATAAGAGAGGTGGTATGGATGATAAGAGAGGTGGTATGGATGATAAGAGAGGTGGTATGGATGATAGGAGAGGTGGTATGGATGATAAGAGAGATGATATGGATGATAAGAGAGATGATATTGATGATAAGAGAGGTGGTATGAATGATAAGAGAGGTGGTATGAATGATGAGAGAGGTGGTATGGATGATGAGAGAGGTGGTATGGATGATAAGAGAGGTGGTATGAATGATAGGAGAGGTGATATGAGTGATAAGAGAGGTGGTATGAATGATAAGAAAGGTGGTATGGATGATAAGAGAGGTGGTATGGATGATAAGAGAGTTGGTATGGAAGATAAGAGAGGTGGTACGGATGATAAGAGAGGTGGTATGAATGATAAGAGGGTGGTATGAATGATAAGAGAGATGGTATGGATGATAATCAAGATGATATGAATGATAAGAGAGGTGGCATGAATGATAAAATAGTTGGTATGGATGATAAGAGAGGTGGTATGGATGATAAGAGAGGTTGTATGGATGATAAGAGAGGTAGTGTGGATGATAAGAGAGGTTGGTATGGATGATAAGAGAGGTGGTTTGGATAATAAGAGAGGTGGTATGGATGATAAGAGAGGTAGTATGGATGATAAGAGAGGTGGTATGAATGATAAGAGAGGTGGTATGGATGATAAGAGAGGTGGTATGGATGATAAGAGAGATGAGATGGATGATAAGAGAGATGATATTGATGATAAGAGAGGTGGTATGAATGATAAGAGACGTGGTATGAATGATAAGAGAGTTGGTATGGATGATAAGAGAGGTGGTATGGATGATAAGAGAGTTGGTATGGATGATAAGAGAGGTTGTTTGGATGATAAGAGAGGTGGTATGGATGATAAGAGAGGTGGTATGGATGATAGGAGAGGTGGTATGGATGATAAGAGAGATGATATGGATGATAAGAGAGATGATATTGATGATAAGAGAGGTGGTATGAATGATAAGAGAGGTGGTATGAATGATAAGAGAGGTGGTATGGATAACAAGAGAGTTGGTATGGATGATAAGAGAGGTGGTATGGATGATAAGAGAGGTGGTATGTATGATAGGAGAGGTGGTATGGATGATAAGAGAGATGATATGGATGATAAGAGAGAGATGATATTGATGATAAGAGAGGTGATATGAATGATAAGAGAGGTGGTATGAATGATAAGAGAGGTTGTATGAATGATAAGAGAGGTGGTATGGATGATAAGAGAGGTGGTATGGATGATAAGAGAGTTGGTATGGATGATAAGAGAGGTGGTATGGATGATAAGAGATGTGGTATGGATGCTAATTAACGAGTCTTTGTTCGTTCAATCTTCAACATAGTTTGAGACTAATTTAGTTAGGTCTGATCGTATATGCAAGCTAGGCTTATTGAAAATATGTGAGAAGCAACGGCCGAAATAGGTGAATAGCACAAACGAAAGACGGTATTGTAATATTAAACAGACAAAGAGCGAAATAAATGTATATATTTAATTTTCGGATATTTTCTAATTCTAAATGTGCCAAGGTGAGCATTAAGAAACAAACGAAACAAAAATATATATTCAGCAAACTTTGATGAGCTGGAAGAGCTAAAATTAAAAAGTTGAAGAGTACTGAAAATAAAAAAAATCCAAGAGTTTGTTCCAAACCTGGCTACGGCTATCTATGTCTCGTGATACAAAACCTTTAGCGTTTCGAACGATTATTTTAACAATTTTGAAAATATATCCAATTAATAGAAATTGATTGCATGAAGGATATTTCATGTCAGGACAGAAGTAATTCACCTGGTGTGATAGGTTATCACCTATCCACGATAAAACTATTCAATGCTGTGAAATATTGTTTAAATACATGTACAAAATGAAGTTTACCATATATATCAACAGGGTGGATCTCTTGGAAAGGGTACTGCAGTAAAACAGATGGCTGACGCAGACCTACTTTTCCCATTAGGAGGTATTGGTTCTGTAAAAGAACTTAGTGCAAAATTACCGGAAATCCTCAAAACATTACAATCAGCTTTAGACCGTTCAGAACACAAAGTCACTTCTATAAAGAAAACTCCATTTACCATACAGTTCCAGATTTCAATTGATGGAGTTCTGCAAGATGTTGATCTCCTGCCAATAGTAGATCTAGGAATACAGCATCGTAAGTTTTATACAATCAGTCACAGATAAACTAACTTCTGTAACAAGTCATAAGTAACAGTCAACTTTGCATAATTTATATATCTCCCAGTTGATACGATATAGCAGGGCTTGTATTTCCTATCATGATTTCCTTGATAGAGAGCTGCTGCTCACAAGGAAGCTATTAAACCAAGAGTTCCAAGTTGTGAAGATGAAATCGTCCCTTCGTAAATTTTATGTTTATAGTTGTTGTGTTTCCCTCGGTTTTAGTTTGTAACCCGGATTTGTTTTCTCTCAATCGATTTATGACTTTTGATTACCGGTATACTACTGTTGCTTTTATTTATGGACACCATCACGAGTTCTTTGACCGTTATGGAATATCTGTTTCACAGATGACAACGTAAATGTTCCAATTTTCGTAACTACAATCCCGACACTTTTTCCCCGAATTTCTACAGAATTAAACTTATCACCGGATTTGTACTAACATGAGCAACACGACGGGTGCCACATGCTTACCCTTCCGGGGCACCTGTGATCACTCCAAGTTTTTGATGGGGTTTGTGTTGCTCAGTCTTTGGTTTTCTATGTTGTGTTTTGAGTACTGTTGTTTGTCTGTTTGTTTTTTTAGCCATGGAGTTGTCCGTTTATTTTCGACTTATGAGTTTGAATGTTCATTTGGTATCCTTCGCATCTAGTTTTCAACGTATTTGTTTTAGGACGTTCAATTTGTGTTATATTTTCTTTTATAATAAGACAAATTCTGAAGAGAAAGAAAAATCAATTTCTGACTCCAACGGCAAGTAAGAAACAGAAAACAGAACATTTTCCAAATTGCCGCCGATTTCATTTTCATTTCAAATTAACGGAACTTTAGAATAGCGGGCTTTAATATCAGTCCCATTGTTGTCTTTAGAAGAAGCAACAACGGTCGTTTCTAAGGGCTTGCTTTCCAACTGTAAAGAGTACAAACAGTTTTAAAATGTCTGATAATAAAGTTTGACGCCATAGGACGTCATACTGATATGTGCAAAAGATTAGATAAACTTTTTGCGGATCTTGTTTATTTAACACAATGAGAGTGTTGACCATAAGAGAAATAGATTTAACAATTCGTGATAATCGGATATCTTGATATCAACTCTCGTTATTTAATTTGAATATTAATAATAAACTCGCTGAAGGCTCGTTTATTATTATATAGAAATTAGATAAATCGAGTTGATATCAAGCGATATCCAGTTCTCATTCGTTATGAAACTTATAAACATCCTTTTGATTGACCTGTTACTGTAATTGACCCGATGGCAGAAATATGAACTGATTTTTATTTAATAATTTTTTTTCTATTTTCACGAGATATTAACATCGTGTTTTGGATGAATACTCTTATATAGTTAATGCACCCGGCGTAAACGAACTCGGGGGATATGTTTAAATTAAATAAAAAATACATCGGACATTTGACTGTCGTTTGACCATTACATATTTTGTGCCACCATCATATATTGGTTTTTTAATATATTCAATAACGGGTCTGTTAGTTGATTTCAGGTATCATCAAAGCCAGATTCGCAATGTGTAAATGTGTAATCAAAAAGTAATGAAATCAAGTCATGTTCATCTCAATATCAATGTAATTTAGATGCCAACAATACGTATTCTGAAATTGTCATATGTTTTCTCAAAAGTCACAAAGGAGAATCTTAAACCAATATACACAGAAATGAAAAAGCACGAAAATCTGCGAGATTACTACATGAAATGTTTGTCCTTTCTGCAAGTGAACTTTGTCAAACAACAGCCACCAAAAGTCAAATCTGTAATACGATTGCTTAAATACTGGATCAAGACAAAACAGGTAAATCATATCTGAAATATAAAACAATGTTTTAGTGTCAGGTGCTGTTTGGAATAATGGTGTTCTTTATTAATTTGTAGTGAAACCAAACCCTATATAGCTCAACATAAAATGTTCAATAATATATAATTGTCTAAATCATATATATAACACTAAATCTTCATGAATCTAGATAAGTTGAAGATTTGCTAATAACACCAAACACACAAACATGCACAGACGAATAATGCAATTCTGCGCTTCCTGTATATATTGTTGAAAAAAAGTATATATCATACTAACAGAAGAACGTATAAATGTACTTGCTATGAGTTATTAAATCATATCAGTTCCTATAGAAAAAGAGAAAAGTCTTCTCCATTTATAAAAAAATAAATTCGATATTTTAGGATTATTTAACCAAAATAAATGATTCAAGCTCAGAGGATATTTTTCCTGCTGTAGGAAGCGTTGGTGTTGATTCAGAAGAATTTCTGTTTTTTTATACCTTTTATTCCCGTAATATGGAAGCAACCGATATGTTTATCAAATCGTATTACAGGATGTTAAATTCGTGTTTACATTGCATTGTTTATTAAGTCTACTTTTAGCACAAACTTAAATCCTACGGAGCAGAGCTGTTAGTGATAAAGGCTTATGAGGACCTTGGATCTCCGTCATCTGTCAGGGAAGAAGATATGGCCATCAAAGTGTTCGAAAAACTAACAGATCTTAAGTCACTCAAAGTGTCATGGACAAAATATTTTGATCCAAAGAATTTTAATGTTCCGTAAGTTTTCATTAGTTCAGTATAAAGTGTTTATGTTTCGTGTGTGGTTATATATATACAACTGTTATATCACAAGGTTGATACTTTCCATGAACAAAACGATGGAAGCCACTAGAAGAGTTCGTCCCTAGTGTTTGGTTGGGTTTGTGTTGTTCAGTCTTTAGTTGTCTGTGTAGTGTTTTTGGTGTATGCGTGTGTGATTGTTTTGTTCTACTTTTGGTTATGTTATTTTGTGTTCTTCATCGACTATTAAAGGTTTTATTTTTCTTTTCTGTTTTTTATCCCCTCTTCTATGATGAATCTAGAACATTATTGATATTATTTTTACTTATTTTACTTATTTATAATGCGATCGTTCACATTTCTCGTATTAAATGATTTAAAGTTCATAGGTTTAGTTTGATGCTTCTTACAACATAAAAAGATAACAAAAATTTACCTTAAATCTGACTGGATATACATGTGATATAAGTTTACAATTACTGCTTTAACTTCAGTACATTTTTTCGAATTTATTCCTCATGTTCTCAATACATTATTCAACTATTAGTATACAGAGGAAGTTAATCACACTTTATTTTCTCCCATGTGTTTCAGGTCTGCACCTTATATATTGGATCCTGCCTGTCCCTATCACAATCTGATTCGCCAAAAATCGGGAGGTATTGATGACAAATACGTCTATCTTGAACGAGATGCAAAGAAAATACTCAAAGTATTAAAGGACCAAGATTATAGATCTAAACGTGGTGAACTTTAACCTTTTGATAATGTTATTCACGTCATGATTATCATTATTATGCTTTTAATTCAAATGTTGACGTTAAAACATAGTTAACGTATCGCAAACTTTCATTCACGTTTTATTGCAGCATTGTTATTAGTATATATATAATCACAAAATGTCATATTTGATGTTCAAAATATTGTCTCATGTTGTTTCTCTAACAATTTAAGAACATATACCAGCTTCGTTCAAATTTGTCAATAAACAAGTGCTTTGATTTGTTATTTTTATGTATTTTCTTTTCAATATAAAAAAAAATATTGTCTAGTAATAGCTTCATAATGGAGCTTTTGGAATATGTTATGTTTATTGAAGTTTTCATTAAGGCATAGAAAAATGTTTTATCTTCTCTGTTAAACAGTTTGTCCGTTGTCATTTCTGTGCAGCCAATGGCGTAGATATATCTTAAATTATATTATATACCAGAACACGTTCTTTATTCAAGGATTTAACTGACAGAAGTATACTCTATGCAACCTAGTTCATGAATTTGTCATGTTTGTTTTGTTGCCTTTTTCTAGACATACGCCTAAAATTTTCATTATTATCAATTTATTTAACAATAGTTCACCGTTGTTCAAATCACATAAATAGAATTCAGAAGTCAAACCAAGGTTACGCACAAAAACTGAAAGAATTGCATCAGCTCTAAAAGGAGCGAGACCGGGTTAGTCGATATGGTAAGCATATCTTGATAGCATGCATCATCTGCAATGCGAATCCACACTTGTGTTACGTATTTTTTCATATTAACTGAAGATTCAAAAAGTTGTTTAATGTATATTTGCAGGTACATTAGCTAAATTGTTCAATTATTTAAACATAATGAATAGTTTAGGGTAAAAGGGACATTAGTTACGATTTAAACACAAACAATATCATTTTATTTGTTTCAAACATTTATCACCAAATACGAATTTTGTGTTATCAAAATTTGCAGTTACAAAATTTAGAAAATTATTTTAAATTAAGGAATATATATCTCCCTCATTCAGAGCTCTGATTCCTTCCCCAACTTTGGCTATACTTTTTTGTTTACAAGCTCTTTATTTTTTAATAAGCTTTGGCTTTTCAAATAGTTTGGTCTCGAGCATCACCGAAGAGACGTTTACTGTCGAAATGCGCATCTGGTGCAGAAAAATTGGTACCGTTAATGTTATTTATAAAAGATAAATAAAGAGAAAATTTCGATATTAATCGTTAATTTTGTCCAATTTCTTCATAACAATCTAATAATGCATAGCTGATGTATTGTTGACATGCAAGTCACTAATTCAACACATTTTGAATCCGTATTAGTGCAACATTTTAACTTTTAGTGAATATGGGATGCGCATATGTAAAGTGTATTCGTTCATTTAAAAAGAAAAGAATATAAAAAGGAGGAGATATGGTTTCATTGACAATGAAACAACTTTCATCCATGAAATGAAGTTGTAGGACACCGTTCGGCCTTCAACAATTAGAATAACACAAACCGTATAGACTGCTATTAAAGGCTCCGACTTAAAACATGTGAAGCAATTCGATTGCGAAACACGACCTAATGTATAACAAAACAAATTACGAAAAGGAAATATGACAAACATGAACCAACGACAACCACTAAACTACAAGCTCCTGACTTGGGACAGGCATATAAAGAATGTGGTGGAGTTAAACACTTTTGTGAACGTTCAATCCTCCTCTAACCTGAGACAGTGGTGTAACAGCACAATAGAGAACAAACTGTAAAAATCAGTTGCAATTGGCTCAGATAGATTGGAACGAGTCACAAAAACTACTAACATGAAACAATAGACAAAAAACACCGAAATAAGGGTATTCGTAGTTATTAACAGATATTTCAAAGCAAATTTCAACTAATAAATAAATCATGTACTCCCAAAGTAGCTCATCAATCAGTACATATCCAACGGATCTAGTGAAAAGACGTCAACATTGAAAAGTGAAACAAGAGAGACACCATTTCGTTGACTGATCCAGCCGACAAAAAAATCATGATTTTACAGATAAAACGATGATTTACATATTATATTTTAAACCTATAATATGAAACTAAACAGACCTAGAAAAATCATCATGGATAATTAGATAATGTCTAGTACAAAACGCTCGTATTAAATATAGCAATGTTGCGGGATCTATGTCCTAACTACCTGAGCAAAATTTTAATAGAAGGTAGTGACGATTTGTCTAATGATGCTAACTTAGAGCTGGTTGAGTGTGTGTTTCGATAAATCAAATCTTCAAACAGGTTTTCTCGATAGATCAATAACGTATTTGTATCATCTTTTATCCTTGTAATAAAACATATAAGTTAGAAACACATACACACACTTGATATATACATACGTAACTTTTTATTTTTATTTTTTTTCTCTTCATTTGACCTGATTGTACACAAATAAAGGCAATAGAAGTATACCGCTGTTCAATAGTCATAAATCGATTTAACTGAAACAAATCCGGGTCACAAAGCAAAACTGAGGGAAACACATCAACTATAAGAGGAAACAAAACGGAACAACAGAATCACTGAACTGCTACATAAACAAACGCCAACATACATAAAAACGGACTATGTGATAACAATAAAAATGGTGGGTTGAACCTGGTTTTATGGCTAGTCAAAACTCCCGCTTATATAGCAATGTTAAAAATACCGCTAAAATGACAACATTACGTGACAGGATAAAGTACAAATAAATGCAACAACATTCAGGTCAGAGAAATACATAAATGAATTCCATAATAGTTTCAACATGTAAACCACAGAAAAACAACGAAAACCCATAACTAATTTACGACAGAGCACAAATACAGCACAATAGAATAATGACCTGTGCGTCACACGAATGTATCAACGCCAAAAAAAAATGACGTCACAGGTAAATTGCTAAAAATGCAATATGAAATTGGGATTAAGTTTGTAAAGGTATTATTTGATGTATTTTCTAACCATTACAAGAATAGTAATATAAAATTGTGTTAGAAATGGTGCAATTATTTGTATTTTATAACTATGGTTTTACTTCTAAATCAAACTGTGAAAAAAACAAATGAATCCTGTGCATATAGTTGCTTTTATTAAACCTAAAAATCTTATAAATGAACTAGGTGATTAATATCTTTACTTTTACATACATAAATAAAAATAAAAATAAAATTGAAACCACAAACGATAAGACATAAAACAAAATCCAACCAGAATTACAAATGGAACATCATAACTAAATACATGAATGTTGGATGTACAAATACCGAGACACGTCTAATAGCAATGCCAATTTACACTCAGCAAAACAGTCATATTCGGGATTTTTAATTTAGATTTATCCAAGATTGAAAGTGCATACTTTATTAAGTAGAGGACCCACAACTTCCAAAACCAGTTTGTCCTAAGTTTAAGGTATTAACGTATTGAAAGAGATATTTTGAAATAAATCAGACAAAAGCTACACACATACACATTTAGTGTTTTAGTAAGCTGCTGCATCAAACTTTACAACAGTTGTTACACCCTGCACACAAAGCTTGTGGTAAAAAGTTATCATCAAATGACTAAATAAGACATAGATTAAAAGACTACAACACTGAAGAATTTGTAACAGATTGCTACAGATAGCTACTGATCATACGTCGAACAATAAACGTGATGTATTGATCTGAATTTACCTTTAATATTTTAAACTATTATTCATACTTTTACACATTGAGTGGTTCATAGGGTAGAGTTGATTGTAGTTATAAAAAGATGTTTAAAATTAATGAATATCACTTGTATGTGTATATACTATCGAAATTTGTTTGAACTATGCTCTCCTCTCCTCTCCGCCCCCCTCCCCCTCCCCTCAAAAAATGTGTAAAATTCACAAATATAAGTGTTAAGTTGTAAAAAAGTGTCAAAATCTTGTTTAAATAATGCTTATGAAGGTATGCGGTGGAATATAATTTTGCACGACGTATTTTTTTTTTGAATTGACTATTTAGCACATGCTATTTTTTCGAATTTCGTTAGCACGAAACTGTGAGTGTCATTATTTTGTGGAATACAGTGTAAAACATTTTGTCAATCTCTGGTTTAACATGAAAACAGTATGTTTTAACCCCTTCACGTTCCCGTACCGATGGGCTAGGTTTTCAGGCAACTAGTTTGCGTTAAGTCTTGAATCTTTGACATTTTCTTACGTACAACAGTGGTTGAGGAATTAAATCAATACTCCATATAACAGCTTAGTGATTCATTGTGTCTTAAACTTCTCTCAAGTACTGTTTGATATCGAATCAACTCTTACTATTAAGATTTTTCCTGTGAAAAAGGGTTTTTTTAAATAATTTTAACATAAATTTCCATAGAGTATGGTAAAGAATACTAATGATTTAGGAGGCAATATGCCTTTTTTATATTTTGGAAGAATACCATTTAAATTATGATTAAAACTTGTACACAATTTAAATAAGTGATTCAAAGTGTGCCAATGCAATCATAAACTTGAAATGCACTCAGAATTTGTGATTATTTCTTAAAGAATTATTTAAAAAAGAGACAAAACCCCCCAAAATATCATGAAGTTTTTTAGCGAAGTTGAAATAGATGCAACACAACATTGTTTCCTACGTGCTTGCTTATGGTAATGTTGAAAACACCTTTGTCTAAGTAGGACAAACAGGCATATGTCAAAAAAAAAATGTCAGACTAATGTATGATATCCTCCTAGGCAGACTAATGTATGATATCCTCCTATCTTTGCTTAACATGATTGAATTGGCAACAATTATATATTATCTCAACACTTAATTTCTAAACGAAAACAGGATTTTTTTTTCTCTCACTTCGTTAATGGTAGAGTTAACTACTAAAATTTCAATATTTTGACCAAGTATTCCAGAGGTGCACTGAAAAGCTGAAACAACCCACAGCAGGAAGATTGCGTATTCGAATTTCATAGCCGGAGGTGAAAAAATAATATCCTATATTAAATGTAACTTAATTTAACTTTACTTTCAATTGCAAAAGGAATCCTCAATATAGGCAATAGTCAGAGATTAAGAATGATTTATGTTTGTTTTAAAAGAATTTGTGTGCCTAATTGCACACCCCCTTTCATTTTTACATTGCTACAGTCCAATATGGGCCACAACTCCAATTTATTACTGGTAATTCATTGCATCTGTCCTTGTATGTTGTAAAGGCCAAACTTTGTTTGCTGCATGAATGAAC